TTGTGATCAGATTAGTATCACGTGATAAATTCAGGTTACAATGTCGGCTAAAAGAAAGTATACAATCACTTTCGATGGTGGCTAAAATGAAACAACCAAGAAATGGTTATTCAATAGGGTATGTTTCATAAGGGTATCATAGTCGAGATTACATGCATAACATCAAAGGGTATCTTATAGTGAGTGAGTGAGTTTGGTTTAACGCCGCTTTTAACAATATTCCAGCAATATCACGGCGGGGGACACCAGAAATGGGCTTCACACATTGTTCCCATGTGGGGATTCGAACCCGGGGGGTATCTTATAAGAGTTGGAGTTGCCTAGTGGTTAAAGTGTTCGATCGTCACGCCAATGCCAGGATTCATTCTCCACATGTGTACAATGTGTAAAGTCCATTTCCTATATCTCCCGCCGTGATATTGCTGGAAAACAGGTAAAGCGGCGTAAAACTATACTCACTCACTTACAAAGAGGTTGCGTGGATATGATATCTCAAGGTGAGTGATTGAGTTAGTGAGTTTAGTTTTTCGCAATATATTCCTGCAATATCACGGCAGGGAACCAGACATGGGCTTCACACATTGTACCCATGTGGGGAATCGAACCCGGGTCTTCGGCGTGACGAGCGAACTCTTCAACCCCTAGGCTACCCTATCGCCCCTTTATCTCAAAGAAGATGGGATCGGAGCTTTACAGTACAAATTAATCAACAGATTGAAGTGTGTATTTTCACCGTTATTTAGTTGAAATATTACTGGAAACGACGTTCAAGAAACAGACACTTTATAGGAAGGTAGGCACACACTCTTAAAAAAAGAAATGTATAGGCCAAAAATAAGGAAATGTTTTACACGTACTGAAGTGTACATAGGTCGATTAATCTTGAACATAGATGAAGGAAATTCATTGAACTGCATTGTCGTCACTGTCAGCATTAATTAAGTCCACCCAAAGTACATGTGCGGACACAAAATGGACGTTCAGGTCAGTACCTGGCGACAACACCTCTTGCAGCCGTCACTGCTCGACACGCCTTGGAAGGGATTGCACAAGTCGTCGGATTTGTGCTTGGGAAATTCTTCGCCATTCCTCCTGCAACGCGTTGGCAAGTTCTGCAAGTGTCTGAGGAGGTTGGTGACATTTACGGACGCGTAGATCATTGGGACTCAAAAATAGAAATTGTCTCAATGACGATTGCTGTCAAAATGTATCGATATGAACTGCTGAAAACGCCTATGCGTTTCTTGTTTTGAAGAGTGCATGTCCGATTGGCCGCACTGTTCGGTATATTACAAAAAAACATTTTTCTCAACGCCACACTTAACAGTATCAGAGCATCAGGACGGCGGTCCGTAAATAGTCGAGTCTGTGAGTGAGTGAGTGTCTGTATGTTAGGCTAACGTGGTCTTACTTACATCATTTACCCACTCAACGAAAGACATTCAGTGTCCCTATATTCTGCAAACAATTATCGGATGACCAAGTGTATTTGTACTCCCCCAAGTAATGATACCGAAACCGGTCGTTTTAACATCCTGTGAGTGATTTGCAATTAGGCTCTAATTACCCCGACAATTATTTGTCACTGGCTGGATTATTGTCGTATTTGTGGAGAGCCCATGGTACAGCTGTTATTTGCGTGGCGGCTGTTGTTCTGCTTGAGTGGTTAGATTGGTTACCCTAATTGATAGTGAGGGGCCGGGGGGTAACCTAGTGGTTAAAGCGTTCGCTCGTCACGCTGAAGACCCGGGTTCGATTCCTCACATGGGTACAATGTATGAAGCCCATTTCTGATGTCCCCTGCCGTGATTTTGCTGGAATATTGCTAAATGCGGCGTAAAAATAAACTTACTTTTTCGGACGAAGAGCGGACGCCAGACACCAACCCCTCAAGCCGGGTTCAGCTTGGGGCACTTCTTAGGGCCACATGCAGAAACAGGGCAAACAGACGCAGATAATCGAGGTGTCGTCATCAATGTGTATCACCAAAATTGTGGACACGCCAGATATTGATCTACACGCCCCGAGTATGATGATACACATCTATGTATGTCATGATACCGTCACCATCATGTCATCAGTTTCCTCAAGTTCGTCGATAGTATGTATCGCTTGCAGCACTGCCATTAAAGTGGCCAGTGCCTTTGTTCTGAGGTTACGATGCTTCACAAGTCTGCTTGTCGAGAGATGCGATTGTAAAACTGAATCTAAAATTATTAAGAGGTTATACATGTAATCTAAACACATAATGTTTCATTGTTTGGCTGTTTTATAGTGATTTGGTACGCATTCGATAGTAAACCACAGTTGTTTTTTTCGCAAGTACAAACTTGCGGTTAAGGGGACCGCTGCCCTACCCGTTACTTCCTTTTTGAAGACTCATTGTTATAATAATGTAATTATTCAATAAGAAGAAAGGAAATTAACAAGTCTCCACCTTAAAATTAAAAACTATGGTAAAACTTCAAAATAAACGAATATCGAGTCTCGATCATGCCGTGGAACCTTTGTTTTGGACTTAAAAAGCAAAATAGTGGCAAAAATAATATGAATTGATCACTGAAATTCAGAGATGACACTAGGCGTTTGCAAAAAAGGAAGAAGAGCTTTCATACCACACAAGTCCTTATTACTCGTTTGTTTCTTTTAATTAAATGCCCATCGATATGTTAAAAAACAATGTTACCGTGCCTCTAGAACCGTCGTAGAACCCTGTTGCCTCTGTGTACAGTTTTCTGCATTCAGCGGCCGGTACGTAATCGAGTCTGGACCCGACCATCCAGTGATTGATGTTATTAACAACGACCTACGAAGTCGGACACACGCCACCATCCAAGATACCGAGCCTGACCACCCGATCCAACAGGACGCCTCTATTCAAGGGGCGGTGGGGTAGACTAGTGGTGAAAGCGTTCTCTCGTCACACCAAAGGCCCGTGTTCGATTCCCCACATGGGTACAATGTGTGAAGCCCATTTCTGGTGTTCCCCGCCATGATATTGCTGGAATTTTGCTGAGTGCGGCGTAAAACTAAACTCACTCACTAGTCAGTTCTAATGATTTTCAAGTAATATTTACTACGAAACCTACATATTAAACCTATTTGAGAGCCAGCTGCCTGTATGCCTTCTTGATCTCTTCGGGTGTGGATGACGGATTGACACCCAGGATTTCATATCTGTTACTATGCTGATAATTCTCTAATGTTTATTCTAATCCATGAAAGGAGTATATGTATGAAATCTGTTGAAGGTGTTGGATGTTTGTTGTCAAGGTTCTTAAGGAGTGAGTGAGTGAATGAGTATGGTTTTACGCCGCTTTTAGCAATATTTCAGCAATATCACGACTGGGGACACCGACGTAAAACTCACTCACTCACTCTCTTCAAAGCAGGGCGGCGGGGTAGCCCTGTGGTAAAAGCGTTAGCTCGTGACGACGAAGACCCAGATTGGATTCCGCATATGGGTACAACGTGTGACAGTGATGGTCTGTTGTGCAAAAGAAAGTATACACTTAAAAATATCACGGATTTAATAAACTGATTTCATTAACGGAGAATCGATTCTGAAACTCTCTTGTTGGTAAACCGAGCACCATCATTTCAACATGTTTTTGAGTCCAGTTAAGTTTCGCTTTCCATTATTCAAATCAGTTGCGGGCATGTTATTGATGTGTCCCACATATCAGTTTTGAGGGCGGTGGGGTAGCCCAGTGGTTAAAGAGTTCGCTCGTCCCAAAGAAGACCCGGGTTCGATTCCCCACATGGGTACAATGTGTGAAGCCCATTTTACTGGTGTCCCCCGCCGTGATATTGCTGGAATAAGGCTAAAAGCGGCGTAAAATCTTACTCACTTACAGATGAAATTTAGATAAATAAAATATAACAACATACGACCAAGTTCAATCATTAACATTTGACTGGGTCTGTTCATCGAGACCACCATATTTCTGTCAAACAGGGTTTGCAAAGACAATAGTGAATATTCGGATTTGGGAGATTCTGCTCTATCAGGAGAGAATGCAATATTCCAGCAATATAAAGGCAGGGGAACTAGAAATGGGTTCCACACGTTGTACCCTCACGGGGAGTCAAACCCGGGTCTTCCGCCTCACGAGCGAACGCTTTAACCACTAGGCTACCCTATCTCCTGCACTCTCTGGAATTATTCTGTTAATCTACGGATACGGTTCAGTAAGTTCAATATTTTATCCTGGGTCTAGCCATATTTAGCTTCGACAATTTCCATTGGGGATTCGAACCTTGCCCTTAATTGTGACGAGCGTACGCTTTAACCACTTGGCCGCCACGTTGCCCTACCGAGTTCCCTGTTTGGGGCGAAGATTGAGTGAGTTGGGTTTTACGTCGCTTTTAGCAATATTCCAGCAATATCAGGGCGGGGGACAACAGAAATAGGCTCCACACATTGTACCTAAGTGGGGAATCGAACCCGGGCCTTCGGTGTGGCGAGCGAACGCTTTAACCACTAGACTACCCCACCGCCCCTTCCGACGAAGAGATAAACCCAAACAGTACAAAGCCTGTAATATGACAAGCCCTGTATTCGGTGATTGGAATGTTTCAGCAAAAATGTTGCGCGCCCCACTGGGAATCATGGTAGAGTTGGTTACCAATGAGCCATGCTTTTGCAGAGATTACATTTAACGGGGCATATATACCCAAATCACTCACTGTCTTGTATTCATAGAAATTCCTTTCAAAATTGCACACAACCCTGCTCACATTCAACTGAATCGATCCACTACAATTAAAAAAAAACCCATTGAGAATCTTTTTTTATATAAATAAACGTCCGCATTTCCGGGAATGGTAAACCGAATGTCCACGACAGATGAGCCGAGCTAAATTGACCGTTACTTATTTATGAGACCACCCTCAAAGCTACTGACCAATGAGAACGCTTGAAATAGCTGACGCTTGGCTCTGACGGTATAAAACCGTCCGACGTTTGTAACAATTTCTGTCGTTTGTCAATCCACTACCAGGCGTTACTACTTGCGAATACCTGACGACATCAATCTATATACGTGTGTGTAGAAAGACAGCTATATAGATCACGGACAACCAGGCTAGTCTGCAGTATTTATCGATTAGTTCGCGCTAGCAGCGTTAGCCTGTCCACATTCCAGCTGTGAGAACTCGCGTCCTCGTGGACGATTTGCTGCAGGAACTTGGAAACTTAGAATAACGTTGAACCAACGCCATTTTCGTCCAGGATCGTCTCCAATCGCGGTGTAGGTTGTCCTGAGATTGTAAAAGCACGCCAGACCAATATTTTCGATATTTTTAAATTGAAAAATTAGCTAAGAAGTCTGAGGAGCGTTTTTAAGACAATCTTTTGGGATTTCCTAGGATCGCCATGGATTTTGAGGAGTATAGAAAGAGAGGTAAGTGTTTTTTCTATTTAGTTTTAAATAAGTTTGTATCGTTAGAGACGCCTTTTAAATAGGTTTGATATCTCGTCTTTTCTTGTAGCATTGGTACCTGCTAAACTGCCTGGAGGTTTGAATGCTACGAGAAAAGTTACGAGATCTTAGGCCTACGAGAGCTTTGTGGAACGGGGCCCTGGAAGTTTGAGATTCATACCGTTGAAGGTGCGTCGCATCTTACTGGTGTTGTATATTACACAAAATAAGTTAAGGAACATTTCTTTCATTTCCTTTAGTAGGTAATCTGGCATGTGATAGCAGTGCACATGTATATGAGTCGAACTGTGATGAGCTGTTCATAAATCGTTATAGTTGGTATTCATTTTCAGATTGGTGGTTAACAAATTGTCTTTTTGTGTAATGAATGTTGTACAGTACAAATTAATGATGATTATAAGTGGAAATGTTTCTGTGTGTTATAATACACGGAAACGAAAAAAGAGTTTTAAAAATGGTAACAATCACTTTATCAGACTTTTGACTACATTAATCCTGACAGTTGTGTCTCAGTGGAATCAACTAGATTAAGGAACCCCTTTAATCCGGACATCGTTGTTTCAATGCAATGCAAGAAAACGTCTATTTCTCGAAAATGGTCTTTAGATAAATTTCGTTAAAAAATGCACTAAAATTGATTAATTGGTAATCGTTTAGAAAACGTAAATATATGCCGTGAAAGCATAAAATCTCTGCGTTTAGGGACTCCATAGCTCCTCCCAAATAACAGTACAATTGAACGTCCAATCACAAAGCGGCCTCCAAATCACGTGATACTCGTAATGTCCTCCTCGGTGCGGTACGCGGTTTCTTGTACCGTCGCCTGCTTGTCTATACCTTGTCTCGCACTGGACAAACAGCTGCGTTTACTGTTATCTCCAGCTGCGTTAATCTGTTATAACAGATTCTGTAAACAGTTACATCATGAGCAGCTGGAAGGTCTTAAATCACGTGAAACATTTTTAAACAAAGTTAACCTATTTTGATCGTTAGTAAAAAGATTAAAATGACTAAATGTCAAGACGTTATTGTTAACGTTAAAAAAGTTATTGTTAATCCATTTTCGTTTTAAGTTTCAAACGAAAAAGAGGAACACCTACCAGATAAAAGACGGAACGACCAGATAAAAACTGAACTTATTTTGAGCATAAGGTAACCCTACAGACACGCACCCTCATAACTTTTGGGGAAATGTACTTTTATCTCCAGTATCTCTTACGCTTATCATCCATGTTGCCATGCTTTGAGATACCTATTTTTACTAGTACCCAACGTACGCATGTTCTTTATAGGTGTAAATTGACAAGCCTGTGCATGTGTTTTTGACGGATGTCACTGGTGGAGCAGGATAGACCCACCTTGGATCATCGCCATTTGATAGTGATTAATAAGCATATTCTCATCATATAGTCGAGTTGTACAATCGACTCTGCATTAAGCAGATATTTCTTATGGATGTGGAAATGGTTTTGTGGCTTTTATGTATCGGATGATTCTCTTAATACAAAGAAGAAACGGGTTTGATTCTGATTCGAGTTAATAACTAATTACCATGCACATTGATTAAAACACGTCTCATTTTAATTATTGGAAATCTATCTGTCCAGAACGGGTGTTATCATACCACATCACTGGTAATAGACTGAGCGCCTTGCCACACACGAAAGGAAGGCGACCAGTGTGCGAAATAGCTACTGGCCCGCTAGCCCGTGGCTAGTAAAACTCCAGTCGGGCCAGTAAATCTCCACAGTCACTGGCCCGACTGGCTAGTGAATTTCCATGTGGTCATTTTGAAAATATATCAGTCTCTCCGACTTGTTAAGTTACAATACACTTATAAATCTTGCAAGATTATGGCCTGATGAAAATGTTCATCATATTAGCAGATTAATGATGAAACCTGTGTCATGCCGACAATATCCTATTTTCATCTATTTTTGAAATCTTTTGCTAAGTTTCTACATTCAAATTTCGGGCTAGTGAATTATTTTGTGGGCTTGTAACTTTTAGCTAGCTAGCAATATTTGGAAACTACTAGTATTCTTGGAAGGCGACTCGAAGTTTGTCAGCTTCCAACCGGAACACGTTGAAAGATGTTACCCGTTATTACCCGTTCTTACCCTGTTGTTACCCGTTGTTACCTGCCTTGTTATCGGCCCTGAGCGGATATATAAGGGCGTGGGCTGTTTCTGCTTGGTATATATGACTCACGTACCCAAAGTATACTGCGTCACGGTATTCAGTGACTTACCACTTTAAAACCAGCACACAAGTCAAAACATTGATTATACAGTCTCGTTTCCTGTTGACTGGGTTCTGTTCTATTGCGCAACTCAGTACAATAACCAGTTCAGAATTTTGAGACCAATTCATTTAACTGGATGCATAAATATTAATCAGTATTATTTGATACACCTAATTAAGCACTTGTATATTGCAACACTACGCTCATTATAATCCCTGCGAACGTGTCGTTCTGGGTGCTCTGTCGTACAGCGTGCTCTGACAAACAGAAACCTGGAAATCGTGGAAATCTCAAAACGAGGCTCTGCCGCTAGAAAGGTTTGGCGATCTGGTACGGACTTGATATTATATCAATCACATTACGCGTTACAGAACTAGAAACACACATAATAGGTGTAACCAGTGAGCCAGATGCATTGTGAATCATTTTACGACCTCATCAAACTGGGGCAGTCTATGACGTCTTAGTTAAGGTCATGCTGCCTACACCTCGCCATAAAAAATAAAAATACGATGTTATTAAAGTTTGAAATTAAAATACATGTGTAAATACCATTTTCTTATGAAACAAGGAATTGGAATTCAGTGTAACCACAGTTGTTTGTGATGTCTATTTTCACTTACACACGACAAAATTCGGATCGGTTGAAAAGTAGGTCATTGTCTGAATAGGTTAATGAGACTCGTGTTTCCGTTTGCGAAGTTGTTTCATATTACCTCATAGAATGATCGAAAATTGTTTCACATTACCTGACAGAATGATCGAATTGTTTCACATTACCCCCATTACCACATTGTAATCCAAGAAGGGCGCATATCTTCTGGGGGTCTATGCAGTTTGGAGATGCACTTGGTATAGCATTAAGAGGATACCAGATAGAGATTTTTCACTGGTCCGAATTAGGTTTATATAAGTTTTGTATTTCCTTTAAAAAATGCATGCTTTTAGACGAAACGTGACTGGTCAACCGCCCGTGTGAACAGTAGAGATGGACTTTGATTAAAACATTTTACACATATCTGAGCGATGATATGGTCATATACCACTATATCGGAATATCTTTATATCGGTATATCGGAATTTCGGAAAAAACGGTATATGTCCTTTATTTAACACAAGATTTGTTGTAAATCCCCTGGGATCATAAAAGAGCGTGATGAAATAAACTTCCTGGTAAAATGAAGGTGTCTGTATGACAGGGAGGGGCTTCGGTGAACTACGACTATACTATCCACAACCATCAAGACCTCAAACCCCAAACCTGTCCCATCGCCAATCAGAGCCACCATACCCTACCAAGACCCTGTCAGTCATCAGATTTCCCACCTCCCAAAGAACAACGCCAGCTTAGATTTCAACCTTGTCATCGGCAAGACGACCATGAACCATCTGCGAGTGAATCATAGGGGTACCTGCAGCGCATGTCCCACACCCAGGTTTGTTGTTTAACGCCGCACTCAGCAACGTTACAGATATATGGCGGCGGTCTGTAAATGATCCAGTCTGGTCAAGACAATCCAGTGATCAACAGCATGAGCATCGTTCTACGCAATTGGGAAACGATGACGTGTCAATAAAGTCAGTTAGCCTGACCACCCGATCCTGTTAGTCGCCTCTTACGACAAGCATGGGTTACTGAAGACACATTCTTACCCGGATCTTCACAGTTACAGAAGTACGGACCAAAAGCTACGGGGAAGTTACGAAGGACCTGTATCCATCGACCTCTCGCGTCAATGGAAACTGGAAGTGGCCATTGACATCACGAGATTCTATCCAGCCATGACTGACTGAGTTTAGTTTTACGCCGCTTTTAGCAATATTCCAGCAATATCACGGCGGGGGACACCAGAAATGGGCTTCACTCATTGTACCCATGTGGGGATTCGAACCCGGGTCTTTGGCGTGACGAGCCAACGCCTTAACCACAAGACTACCCCACCGCCCCGTATCCAGCCATGAACTGTGACGAGGAAACATATACCGAGAGAAACAAATAAAGGATCGCAGGACAATTCAAGCGTTCCTTTAATATTTTCCAGTATTCATCACCAGCTTTGAATAGCGCTGTGGTGATGAAAACCGGAAAATAATTCAGGAACGCTTGCATTTTCCTGTGATTCTTTTTTTATTTCTCTCAGTATATCTGCCTTGTTAATGCTTGGGACTTTATCTGTTCAATTAAATCGAACATATAGTATACTGCAACTGATCGTTAATTCCTGGTGACACGAGGCCTGTCAACTGTCCTGGAGACGGGGTAAGGGTAGTGATGCCGATGTCGAAGTCGAAGGCGAAGGCGATGGAGTTCTGTCTCGAGTCATTTACCGGAATGTAAAACTGTCATCATTTCCATTTTTTTCTAGAGGGGTGAGAAATCGACGGGTGTTGGGTCTAATCTCTGATTTTACCAATCCGTGGGCAGTTTGTTATGTAAAACTGGCACTCACTTTGAGAAATCACGTTGTTTTTCCGCGCGTTGAGGTATGACTGACAGACTGTGTTTGGTTTTACGCCGCTTTTAGCAATATTCCAGCAACATCACGGCGGGGGACACCAGAAATGGGCTTCACACATTGTACCCATGTGGGGAATCGAACCCGGGTCTTCGGCGTGACGAGCCAACGCTTTAACCACTAGGCTACCCCACCGCCCCCGTTGAGACAAGAGGTGCACAAGGACCCTGAGCATACACATAGTGCCAGTGATTTGTAAA